ACACACACACACACACACACACACATTAAATATTTCTTTCTTTCTTTCTTTCTTTTTAAATTTTAGTTTTGGAAATTGTTGCATTATTGCATCATTTATAACGAGTTTGTTTTTCATTTGTACATTATTAACATCATTAAATAAATAATAAATGCATGCACAAAGATTCGGAAACTGATAGAATTATTACAAGTTTAGTGAAGTAATTTTATAACAAAAATAATACTTAAGTAATGTAGTGATAATTACAAAGACAAAATTTTATTTAAAAATAGTTTAGATAAAAAAATGATCAATCCAATTAATTAAAATAATAAATGTATATAAATCAAGAATTCTTAATTAATTTTTTGTTTGCTAAACTATTTAGAAAAATAATGGGGATAGGATGGAGAGAGAAAGAGACAGAGAGACTAAACCTCTTATTAATTTTTTGTTATAATTTTAATAAGTATTTTCTCTCTCTCACCTGACAGGCATCTTTTCCACCTCGAGCAAATCCAGCGCATAAAACGCGATTATCAATCACCGTTGTCGCAAAGTTCCGAAAGGCATTACTGCATTCTTCTTGCGTGCGTACAGGAATTTGTGTTTGCAAAAGTTTACTGCTAGCTGGTTCATCTAAAAAACAAAAATAGAAAATTTTTAACATTTTTTAGACTATAAACGATTATTGTGTATTTATTATCAGATTATATAATTAAGCAAGATTCAATTTATATCGCATATTACTTACGGAAATAAACAGATCCCCATCCAACAACGAAAGGATACGTATTCTCTAAATTTCTATTTCTGATAATATCGTCCACCGGAAGACAAATGGGATGAACAGATACTGAAAATTTACAAGACATATCAATCCATCATATACTGCGATAAGAGAAAAGAATTTATATCTTACAGTAATATTTAAGAGTGTAGCCCGATATGCATATGAAATGTGCTCCCACATTAAATTAGACTTGCTATATATTACTATTATATTATATTTTATTATACATTAAAATTCAAGTTATTTAATGGAATTAATTATTATGTATATAAAATATAACATATTAGCAAGTATGTGGATTAAAAAATTAAATCATTCTTCTGCGCAAAAAAAATTAAAATAATTGTTTTTTCAATATTCTCAATTTTTAAACATTGATGCTTATTTCCAAAAAATCTGAAAAAATTTAAGATGAATAATGTTGGAAAGGTGTTGTTACAGAAAAAATATAAAGTTTGTCATTCAATAATTTCACCTAAAAATTGACAAATTTAAACTTCTTCAATTTTGTAAAATTCGAAATTTCATCTTAAAAATCTATAAAAATTCCCAGGCATGTCTTTTGACGTCTGAAACATCACTGAATTTTTTCATAATTTTTCGTGCATTAGAAGAGCAGAAAAAAATTATGATTAAAAATAATATTTTAGCTTGCTATTATCGTAATAGTAAGGTTCGAAGATTAAAACTTGGTAAAAGTTAATCTTTCATAAAGGTCTAACGATCGACCTATGGCAAGTCTAATTTAATGTGGGGGCACATTTCATGTGCATATCGAGCTACACCCTTTTGAAAATGGCAGTATCAATATGTATAATTTTGTTTTATCAACTTTATTTTAATATCTATTTTAAAATGTATTACTTTATTACACATATATTTATAAAGCAAAATATAAGTAACAATAAGCTTTACGAGTTTGTCTATCTAATAATTGTTATCATATCATTTTTATTTAGGCGTGAAAGGAAAAAAAAATAACAATTTTTATGTTTTCTATAATTCCTCGGTGTAAAGCGATAATATACATCCATCAGATAAGATTCGTATTTGAATGAACAGTGTGCAGGACAAAATATCGTTAATTAAGCGATCTCTAATTGTAGGACTAAAAATCGAATGTTAATCGATCCCTAAGAAATCTCAATAAAGTTTTACTTACTTTTTACTTTTTATCTTACACCAATCAAATTTCTTCATATAATGAAGAATTTTATATCGCAAATATATTTTATTTATTATTTTCCCTACACACCCGTAAAGAAAATTTTGTCTTTTATTTCTCAAAGAATTATATAATTATAAAATAGAGTAGATTAAAGAGAAACTTACATGTAAAGGGTACTTCCTGGGACGTTTTCAGAACCGCCACATCGTTCGTGTAGGTCCTGGGATTGTACTCGGGATGCACTGTTTTCCTTTCGATGAAGTCCTCAAACGGGGTCGCCCCATCGTAGTCATCGTTGAGATCCAAGTCTCCAATGCGCACTTTGTACAAATCCTCCCGTCCGTAAACGCAATGTCCGGCGGTAAGCACATGTCGACTAGAAATCAAGACACCACCGCAAAGCCATTTCGGAACGTTTGGATTTCTCGAGTTTCTGTATCCGAGAGCGGTGATCCAAGGCCAAGCACCTGCGAAATTAATCGACTATCGATTAGCTGCAACGATCAAGTGCTGGAACAATGCTAATCTCAAAAACTTTTATAATTATTTCTAAAAGTAAATAAATGCCAATATTTTTAATTATTCATTACCAATATTTTAATTATTCTATCAGAATTTATTTAAAATAAAGTGTACGTAGAGCAGAAGTTAATTATATTTCTCTAGATTAATTTATTTAAAAAAAGACTTACTTCCAATTGTTTATAATGCAAAAAGACACGAGAAAAAAGTATAGAATTGGTTGAAGAATATTCCCATAAATGTTTTAAATATAAGAAAACAGACTTTAAATTTTTTGCAATAAATTGAGATAAATTTTTATCTTGAGCACCCAAATTTTGATATAATTATTTAATTAGCGAATTTGACTAGTGGAAAATGCGTTAAGATTTTGAGTGCTCTTCAATACAAAAATTCATACCTAACGAGGCTGGCTCGCCACCAACGATTCTGCGTAGCGTCACATTGCTAAATCCGCAGTTAGGTGGAGACAAAGGACCGTATTCAGTGTTCGTCATTCCTTTCTGGCCTCGATCAGCATCCAATCCGTTGTCCGTATGTCCTGCATTTCCGCCATTGATGCTGGATGGACAGCAAACCCAAGGATCACTACCTTCGTAGCGGCAAACGGAAGCACGGAGAAAATTGCCTACTTGCGGATTTTGCGGGTTCGATTTTAGAAGATTAAGCAACAACGTACACGATTTAATATTGATGCATGTACCGATTTGTCCCTGTGGATTTTGACATGTATCTGAAATTAAAGAACACGAAATTAAAGAATACACGAACTACATATAATTTAACGTGCTTAATAAGTTTCGAGGTATGTCGCAAAAAAAAGATTTCTGCTTTCTTTTTCTATTTAAAGTACACGACAGTATAAGCATCAAGAATTTTTGCTTAAACAACAAATATACATATAATATAACAAAAAATTCACAATCGAAGTTTACGAATTTATGTCTTGCAAAAGCTTCTCATGCCGTCGATATAAGCCGACTGTTTATAATATAAACATTTTTAGGAGTATCAACACCAATCATACTCATTGTAGATCAATAGTTTTTATCGTCAAATAAGATTAACAATTTGATTTCCTTCGTCTTACAATTAGTACTCTTAGGTCCTTATTATAGTCATTATCAAATCAAATCTCATCTCAAGGGTACATCAGGTAAAACACTTAGAATAGAGTTTTATGATGTAGATCTGTAGATGGTTATCATATTTTGATTAAAAATTAATGAAACTTGATCAATTTTTTATAGGAAAATAAATTTAATTGGATATTGCAATAACTTAAAGAATACAGATTTGGTGATTATGTCCTTTGCGATTTCATTAATTCACTCCTGTGCTTACAAACACTTAATTAGCTTCTGACAAGACGCACGTTTTTGGCAAATCTTATAGTTACTGTCAATGATATTAGAATTACACAAATAAATTTGAGAGTACCTTCTACGGTGACAACTGGATGCCTTAGTGCCTAATAAATTCTATATGAATTTTTAAATTTATATTATATAGTTTAAACTGCGCTCCGAATCAATGTCGGACTTGCAATTATTAGCTGAAAAAAAGCTTGGAAAAATGAAATCACAGTTGATTTTTATTCCTTAATAATTTGATATGACTAAACATCTTAAAATGTTGCAAATCTCAATTTTATTTGTGATATTCACTTATGTGGCCTAGTTCAAATTAATATTGTATATTAGAATTACAATATATAGTAATAATATTATAACATACGTAATATGAATTGTTATATTTAAAATAATAAGCTGCAGTAAGCGTTTTATTTAATTATTATTAAATATTGTTATTATTTAATAAGCAATCTTTTTGCTTATTAGATTTTTAATGTATTTGAAAATGCAATGCTAGATATTCGAAATATAGAATTAAACTGCTATAAAATAAAGAATGTTCAGAAAAAGTTTGTTGTAGTCGTTAAACACTTCAACAATTATCTACCTTTTCCACATCTCCGATAAATGAACGCGATAAGCGATTCTTCGTTAAAGATCTCAATAAAAAATGCAGTAATTACTGCGTGATTTGCCGTTAAAAATTATACAACTGCATCGCGATCGTAATGAAATAGCGCATGCCATTATTTATAATCAATCATATTGCGTAATAGGTATTATAATGCACTCGCGTATACGTCCAATCGTTAAAATGCTACTAGCTGCAATATTACGTTCTATGAAAAGGTAATATTTGCCACAAACACATCTTAAAATCCGACTTGTCGATGACGAGTTCAAAGCATTCCAATGATGATTTATCTTGTACACAATGGAATACATCTACAAGACAGACGCGTGGTAATCAATGCTAAATAGATACGTTTGCTGTCAGACATTTATATGTCAGAAGTGAGATATACAGAAAGAAAGATCGAGAGAGAGAGAGGGGGGGGGAGAGGGAAAGGGAGAGGGAGAGGGAGAGGCGAAGATTAAAATTTGTACTTGTTCCCTATTTCAACAAAGATACAATATTGTTTATAAGATTTTCTTTATAAATATATTTATAATTTGTATATAATATATTAGAAGATATTTTTATATAATTGATACATACATCAATTATCATATATTGTTAATTTCTTATCTTTTATGTTTTAGAAAACTTATTAGATTTGCATTTTATGACAGAATTTATATGATAGACTCTTCAAAATTGCTTATTACATAATCGCGCGAAATCTTTTTATATCAGATGTATTCTGAAGCAATTATGTAATTGTTATCGTAT